TGTAAGCAGTTTCATTAGCATTTTCATGTGAAATATACTTCCTCCAAAGTAGAATTGTTAAAACTTTCTCTACCTGAAGGCTCAGTAATCTACTGACATTGCCTAGTAGTTGCATGAGCCAAATAGGTCTGGCTGGGGTCGTAAAACAGAAAACCACAGGCCCTGGCCCCAACTCTCGGTGTGTACATATGTATATAGAAAGAGGGTGCCAAAGATAGATATATACACATTTTAAGAAAGGAAAAACTACATTAAAATTGTAATACTCAAGTTACACTTGACTTCTGCGATTTCAAGAGATATAAGATACAATATACATGATAAAAAACATTATTGGTATATACTGAGTACTTCAATTTTAATGGTTTTTTCTTTTTTTAGAATATGTACACATCGCATATATAGAATCCTCTGAGATACCTGGCGTTGCACATAAAGGATTTTTTTTAATGTAATAAAAGCTAGAAAAAAGGAAAAAGACCTCCATTTCATGAAGAATGTTCCAGTGACATCTAAGAGGTGTTAAACAATACTTATTTTTAAAAGATCCACAAAGCTCCTTTTCTGTTATCAAATTTTTACTGGTTCTTTTGGTCACAATGTTTCTGGCATGAATAAAACATGCCGAGGGGATTAACGGTTCGTGTGTCTGAAAACACAGATAGCTATGTGGATCCAGATAGAGCCAAAGCAAAAAAAGTCCTTTACCTCACTGGAACGTGAATAAAGAAACAAGGGCTTGGAGGGCGCCTGTAGCTCAGCGGCTAGGGCACCAGCCACATGCACCAGAGCTGGCGGGTTTGAACCCAGCCTGGGCCTGCCGAACAGCAATGACAACTACAACCGAAAAATGGCCAGTTGTTGTAGCAGGTGCCTATAGTTTCGGCTACTTGGGAACCTGAGGCAAGAGAATCCCTGAAGCCCAAGAGTTTGAGCTTTGGGGTGACACCACGGGTTGCATAATGAGTCTTTGTCTCCAAAAAAAGGAAACAAGAAAGCTCCCACAGGTTACAAAATACTCACTAACAAATGAGCTACAGTGGAACTCTTATCACCTAAGCTATGTGCCATTAGCGTTTTCTGCAATATAAGGGGACCCATTTTCATTACCAACTTGACTATGAAATCAAATACAACTTAATCAAATCTTGGTGTTTAATATGGAACATGTGCAGGTAATTTATGATTAAAAAGAGAAAGAAAGGGCATTCCTTGTGCTTGCTTTGCTGCCTACACAGCAACGTGATTCTGGGTAAACATTTAGTACCTACAGATTGGATCTACTGTCAGTCTGTGGAATGTAAGCTCAATAATTCAGCTTACTTATAAAAAAAAATCAAACAAAATTTCTGGCCTATACAGTCCTCAAAGTATAGACTGTAATGTTCCCATGGAGAGTGTCACCAAATTATCAGCTGACTGGGTTCTGAAAGGTACCCAGGTCACGCAGAGAACACTCTACTCAAACAGAGCCGCAAGGAAGAGGGCCTTCCTTGACACTATCATTGCCATAGGTGACTGACATTGCCTTTCTGACATTATCATTACTGAAAGGTAATAAAATCACATTCATTTTTTTGTTTCTTCCATTAGTTGGGGTTAGGATGTACCCTTAATATATCTCTGCAATTCATTAGGTCCAAGGGAAGGCTCTCCCATCTCACTGAGCACTTCCCTAAATCTGCATCCTCTGGCCAGGTATGGTGGCTCCCACCTGTAATCCTAGCACTCTGGGAGGCTGAGGCAGGTAAATTTCTTCAGCTCAGGAGTTCGAGATCAGCCTGAGCAAGGGCAAGACCCCATCTCTACTAAAAAATAGAAAAACTGAGGCAAGATTGCTTGAGCCCATGAGTTGGAAGTTGCTGTGAGCTATGACACCGCAGCACTCTACCCAGGGCATGAGATTCTGTCTCAAAAAAACAAAAAAAATCCTGCATCCTTGGCTCAAAGCCTATAGATCAGTGGCTAGGGTGCCAGCCACATATACCGAAGCTGGCAGGTTTGAACCCAGCATGGGCCCGCCAAAACAACAATGACAACTACAACAACAACAGCAACAAAAAAATATCCAGGCGTTGTGGCAGGCGCTGTAGTCCCAGCTGCTTGGGAGGCTGACTCACAGTAGGCCCAGGTGCCCTCAGGCTGTGCACCAGGTGTAATACCCACCTTTTCTAGGTTCTCCATTTAATGTTTTGATGTCTTAAAGCCTAGCTGATGCTGGAAGGACCTCCCTACCCAGGGCTGATTCCTAGAAAATTGCTTTCATAAGCAAATCAACCAATCCAGAGCCCACACCCCAACTACCTCCTTCAATCAGCTAGTAGTCAAGGCCATTATTCCCCTCCTTTAATCACCCCAGAGCCAGGTAGCAGATAAATAAGCCCCTAGGCCCAGAGCCTACAACAATTGTTCCAACTAGCCAATCCTCAGCCTGTTTGCCCTGCTGAGCCCCTTGCTTCCCTTGGAAATCACAACAAGGGCTCTTGCCCATGTTTTGCTTCCCTGTATGGCCCTGCACATGGTGGTGCCCGGCCCTCAGCTTGGGATCTTCAACAGCAAATACTCCGAGGTCTGCTGGCCTCATCATACCTGAGGAATAATAGAACCTTTATCTTTACACCTCACGCTGCTTTTGTAAGAAGGGATTTCATAGGTCCAACAACCAGAGCAATGATGATAAATGAAAAGGGCTCAGGGGCCACCAAAGACTTGTGAACATTTGCCCGGAGTCAAAAGCCAACCAGATGCCAACAAAACATGCTCCTGGCTCATGGGAAAAGTACTGCGAATATAACAATTATGATATCCATGTTTATCTGACACTTACCTCACGGAGTGGGATGATGAGGCTACATAAATTCTCCTCCTTACTGGTAAAGCAGATGTAATTCGTGGACACAAACATCTGGCCCAAAATGTGCATTTTGTTAAATGGAGTCCAGAGGGTACAGTCTGTGTGGCCATCTAACTTTTCATCTTTGGGTAGCCGGAAAAGTGCACGGTACCTCTCGCTCTTGGCCCTGGCATCAAGATCACTGGAAAACAGTTATTATAATACCTATAATTTACCTCACACAAGAAAAGAGTGTTTCAAAATATTCTAAATGATGTAGCAATGGAAGTTCCCCCCAGGACAACTTCCCCTCCTGGGTCTTGCTAGACTCACCCCTCCCTTCTTAACTTTATATTGGAGTTAATACCAATATAATGATCCTAAAGCCCCCTTCAAAATTATTTAGGTCCCTTGTGTAGCCACTTCGCAATGTCTGTAAACATTAAAGAGTCTTAAAGAAACTAATCCTGAATGGGAAACTCATTCTCTTTCTTACAAATGCACGAATTTCTAAAGAAGTCATCACATTTATTCTTATCCAGCACGACTCTTCCGCACCTTGTCTTTCAAGACTTCTTGAGAATGCCAAAAAGCCACATGAATTTGCTGGGCATCACTGTGAACTCTTTTAACAGTCAAAAAAAGAAAGAAAGAAAACTTCATGAAAAGCCACAGGAACCACCCCTGACTTGTATAACTACGGTTTCCACCTCAGCTGGGGGTTCTGCTGAATGCACTCCCTGATGAGTTCTTTTTTTCTTGTTCATCACAGTACTTGTTTAAACCGCTCCTGTCCAGACTTTGTTTCAAAAAAAAAGGTATCAGCACACATAAGCCATATATATCCTTGCCATGCTCTGGATGCCCTGTTTAAATTACCCATTTACTTACAGCTTTATCTCCACTCTCCCTCCTATTTCCAAACCCGTTTGTACCAACAACTCTTCCCATCTACCTTCTTTATTCGATCCTATGTTCAATCTTTTCAATTCCAAAAAAAAAAAGCAATACTTCCTCCTCTACCTTTTCTTTCTTTCTTTTTTTTTTTTTTTTCTTTTTTTGAGACATGATCTATCTTGGTTTCCTGGGAGAGAATGCAGTGACATTATCATAGCTCACTGCAACTTCCAACTCCTGGGCTCAAGCCATCCTCCCACCTCAGCTTCCTGAGTAGCTGGGACTACAGGAGCACACCATCATGCCTGGCTAATTTTCCTGGGCTTATTTCTGAGACAGGGTCTCCCTCTGTTGCTCAGGCTGGTCTCAAAGTCCTGGCCTCAAGTGATTTTCCTGGCTGGGGCTCCCAAAGTGCTAGATTACAAGTGTGAGCCACTGCATCTGGCCGAGCATTGATGAATTTCTTGAAAAAGCTGTCTGTGGTTGCCTAACTCCCTTCCTTTTCCTTTTATTTGCTATTTGGCCCACTGCAGTAACAGCATTTATCCCCCTACTCCTCTGTCAAAACACATCTCAAATCACCAAAGACATCTTTATTAACAACTCCTTTCAGACTCTGTCTACTACCTATTCACCGCACAATGATTCCCAATTTTGTGCATCTTACTGGACAATCTCCGACTAGATGACCTGCAGGCAACTCCAGTCAAAACTGAGCTATCACAATCAAAAGTGAGCTATCATATCCTTTGGACATGCTCTTCCTTCTCTCATTCCCCATCTCAGTGAAAGAGAATTCCACACACAGTCACGCTTTAGAGGCCATCATCTTTCTAGCTCCATTCCCACATTCCAGGCTTCTCTGCAGCCTCTCTTATCCCATCTCCTGCCACCTTCCAGCCACATGATGGACTTACTTTCCTCTCTGTTCTTCCTTGGGCTTCCCCCACTGTGTTCTTCCTACTGCCTGGAAAACTCACCCTACTACACCTGCGTGGGTGTCTTCTACTACCTCCTCAGAGCTCAGCTCACGTAACCTCCACTGAGAGGCCTTCCTTACCTACTCTGGCCCACTGGAGCCAAGAAAACCACTGCCTGTGATCCCATCACATTGTGCTGGAGCAGGTCACATCTGTCCCACTGACTGAACTGAGAGTACATCAGGCAGGCCTTCAGTTTTGTGTATTTACCCAGAAAACTGTTCAGACCCTGGATGTTTCTCAGAAAGAGTCAAGTGGAATGAATAAATGGATGGGTTTCTCATATCTTAAGTCTAGAAGATTCAACATCTCTATCACCCACCGTTTTAAAGCAGACACTTTCTTAGGAGACTTCTTCTTCAGTTTGGGCAGGGAGCGATCTTGCTCAAATCCCTCATTGTCTAAGAGCTGCCTCATGGCTATGTTGGCAAGCTGCTCCATCAACTTGAAGGTCTCATTGATATTGAGGAATACAGAGAAGAAGTGTTCGCTGGACCGTGTGCTCACTTTGATCACATCGGGCAGAAGCAGGGTGGCGTTCTTTTCAAGCTGAGTGATGTCCACCCACCGGATTACCAGTTTGGCTGAGCACAGGGAACAAGGCTGGGTCAACACCGGAATCCTGAAAATCCTTTTGAGATACTGAAGTTTCACAGCCCCACTTCCCAATTCCACTCAATGCCTTTGAGTTTGTAATCCCATCAGTGTGTGTTTGTTAGTTTTAGGAGAAAAATCCAGACTATATATATCCTGAGTTCAGAATTATTACAGAATTAAGCCCACATCTACTCAATTAATTATACATATCTTTAGTGAATCTTTATGACTTAAGGACAAATTTCTTTACAGATACTGAATTGAAAATAATTGAATTCACTTATTAAATAATAGATAGTGGTAGTGTAGATTCAGTTTTAACTATAAATTTAGTTTTGATAGTTCAATGTGACTTAATGAGTTTAGGGCAAACTATAGGAGACTTCACAAAGTTTCCTCTTGAAATCCTAGATAACTCACCTTCCCTTCCCATAAGAAAAGAATAAAAGCAAAGGTGGTTAATACTGAGGTACATCCAACCCTGACGGGGGACCTTCCCCTTCCAGTAGCTGCAAGAGTAATAGTTGACAAGTTTCTCTTCTTCAGGCATCCCAAACAGCCTATGGAATTTCACGATGGCTTCTTTAAACTTCTCTGTGTCATCATCTTCCTTTACATCATTGATTTTGTTATATTCTGCAATGATGCCCTGATCAAAGATAAAACACAAAGCATACAACTGGCATTAATATGACAAGAGCCATACAGATTGGAATAAAGAAAAAATTCCTAAGGCTGGAATTAAAAAAAAAAATCAATATATTCTTTAATTCAAGGAATCAAAGGTTTCAAAGGTGACTCTCTGATTCTAAGCCAATTAACAAGTAGCCTTTATTTACTAAAAGATTTTTAAATGACAATATAAGATTTTATCACATGTTTATTTTGCTAATTATTTTATTACACTCATTTGGAATGAACCTATAGTTTTATTTTGTGAGAAGATGTACAGATTTTGCTAGTTCTATTGTTTTTACTAAGCTTATTAGGATAGGATCATTCCAAAGGTCAATTGTTGCCTTTGTCAAAATCGACACAAATTCATCAATGAATGAACATAAGAAGAAAAACTGATCAAACACATGCCACTAACTGACGCTTGGCCACCAACCACTACACTGGGGAGAAAGAAAAAATGAAACAAGTAGTCCCTTGAGCAGAGAAGGGGTGGTGACAGCAAAAGCTGTATCAGACACAGGACTTCTGGACAGTGAGACAGGAAATGAAATATTTGCATAGGAAGTAATTAGCTTAACATACTATTCAATCATTACAGTAATAGCTTGAGAAGTCATTTCATTGTTACTCATTTCCTCTGTAATTCCCTGAAAATTAGCTTCTACTTATATATCTTGATAGATAATGCTTTCTTGAATTCCATCTTTGACTTTGTAATCGTCAAATTCCTCCTGCCTGGTCCTCATTTTCTCTGATTTCAAGATGGCACTGGAAAAGCACAACCTTTAAGCAGGGAATTCTTGGGTTCAGCTCCTGACAGTATCATTTTGTATCTGTGTGAACCTGGACAACCTCTCCAATTCTTGTTGATACCCTGAGTCCTCCATATCCCAGGAATAAAAAATTGCAACTGCCTCATCATACCTGGAATATCTGCACTGGGTCTAAAAACTTCCAATATATTCTTGGTGCTCCTTAAAAATTTATCTTCCTAGTATTGGTTTTGACTGCAAAATTTTTATTATTAAAATCGCAAGTGGTTCCCCACTACCACCAGTATAAATCTAAAATTCTGGACCACATACATTTTTGATCTAACCAACACCATAACCTTTCCTCTCTTTGTGCTAAGGCCAAACAAAATATCCCATCAGTAACTGCCTCAGCCAGCCTGAGGCACCCTCAGGGCCCAGACAACCTTCTTGCCCTTTTGCCTGCCTAAAACCCAGAATCAGACTGTCCTTTGGTTAATCCTACCAAGCCCCAGTCTGGTTTAATTCTCACCGTCTTGTGAAACTTTCCCCCCTCATTAAGTACTGTTGATTCTCTCTGCATCCTGTACTGAAATTGTTTCCTGAATTTTATTTCCATTGCCAGACCTTTCATTCTGTTGCTGGCAGTTGTGGTAATGAGGCATAATAGCAGGAGAGAGAGCTTTATTCTCCCATAATCCCTGTCACCACTCAATTCCAGTTAAAAGTAAGCATATAAACAGTAATTCTAACAGCAAACAGTGGGCAAACACAACCCCAAGCCAGGTCTCCAACCTGTTCTTCTAACAGGAAACCATCCCTAACTCCCTCTGCACAACCCACACCAGCGTCCCATCAACAACACTCTCCAGATTCTGATATATTTTGTGTGGCCAC